TTAATAAATACAAAAAAACCTTATTAATAAATACAAAAAAATAAACAACACTTAATAATATCAACTATGAACATGGACACAATATCTTGACCGTGTTTTGAAAATTAAAACATTTTATAAATACATACATACGACAATCTATTTCTTGTTAACAGTTAATATATTTCAACTTTGGTATAGCCGAAAGTGCTCAGATAAAAAGAACAATTGGACAGTTTTTATATAATTTATCATCCGAAAAATAAATAGTAGATGACATGAGAAATTGTATAAAAAACTAAATCAAAGCACTTTGTCTGTCGTATTCAAAGAAATGTGCATGAAAGAAGGATTGCTGTCTTCTACCTACCTAATATATATATATATATATATATATATATATATATATATATATATATATATATATATATATATATATATATATATCTGAAATCCGGTGTTTTAACGATTTACATTATTTACATTGTTCGGACTGTTGTCCTCGTCTTTATTTTCATATTCACAACGTTTCGGTCGTTGTAAGCAACTGCCTTCTTCAGGTCATATATGTTGGATTTTCGAAACGAACCATTTATTTCGTTCATTGGAACTATCTACCCCAAACGAAATCTGGACGAAATCTGTTCTAAATTACAACGTACATCAACTGAAAGAAAAACGTCTTTACTTACATACTGTTTGTTTCGTCAGAGTCAGTAGTTGGGATAAGAATCATCTTGAACAGTTTATTTAAAACCAGAAAATCTTCTTTTTTTTTATTAATTGTTATGATTTTTGGGAGTTAAAAACCAGTGAAAGCTTTCCTGACGATCTCCTTAGGTTAAACCTTGATAGGTTTGTCTGGCTCTCTACGTTTAACTGTATATATATATATATATATATATATATATATATATATATATATATATATATATATATATATATATATAGGTGTTTCAAAAAGAATACGCCCAAAATTATCACGTGATATGTCAAAAATGAAAAAAATTACAAACCTCTAGCATGAACACATGTGTTGTATATACATTCAAGTTTCATTTCATGTTTTATAAGTGCTCAATATGGCCACCACCGGCAGTGCGGACAACATCAAGCCGATATGAGAATTCCTCCCAAACACGCCTCAGCATGTCACGGTCCACCGTGTTGACTGCAGCTGTTATTCGATCTTTCAGGTCATCGATACTTGCTGGAAGTGCTGGAACATAAACTTGGTCTTTAACATACCCCCACAAGAAAATGGTCACACACAGTGAGGTCCGGGGATCTGGCAGGCCAAGCACAGAGAGCAAGGTCTTTAGCACCTCTCCTCCTAATCCATCGCTGAGGCACGTTTTCATTCAGATAAGATCTAACCCCGAGATGCCAATGGGGTGGTGCTCCATCTTGTTGAAAAATGAAGTCATTCGAATCTGCTTGCAGTAAAGTGAATAGCCATTTTTGGAGCATGTCAAAATAGGTTTGTCCTGTTTGTAGCTGCACCGGAAGTTATACTAACGACAGCCGTGAAACTGATACCCAATCAAACTTTGATAACTACTTTATCAAATAACCACTGATTCAATCCACTACAATGCTATAGACCTGAAAAAACAGTGTAATGATTTTAGCGTATTCTTTTTGAAACACCCTGTATATCGTGTCAGGCCATTCTTCTAACTAGATCCATTTGCATATTTATAAATCTAGCATTCATACTGATATTGTCTGTTGTTCCTGCTATATATCTCAAGGCTCACGACAAACTCCAAAAACGGGTCTGCAATGCTATCGGTACTGACCTGGCATCCCGACTTCAGATACATTCCCACTCGTGCGACGTGTGTCTCTATTGTCTTCTCTACAAATATTTTCACAGCAATTACACAGCGATTACATGGATTTAAGGTTACTACTCTATTGACAGCCTAGTCACATTGTCTTACTATTTTGATAGCTAGATAGAACCGTAAGTCCTATTCTAATAGTTTCTGCTTTCGCCTTTCACGCCTGTGGAACTCTCTTACAGTTTTTTGATTTCTAGTCAAATTTGATCTTCAAAATTTGAAATACTTTTACATCAGGTAGTAAATAAGAGGAAGTAGTAATAATTTGAAACTGGTTCAGTTTTCAATTACTATTTATCTTTGTCTAGTAGTTCTTTCATCAAATTTCTCTTGCTTTTCTAGCAAGTAGTAATTTACGTGACCTTTCCTCTGCAGTGCCTAGACTTTAGGAATTTGATAAGTTTCCTCTTTGATGTTTCGACTACTTCAATCTAAGTAATAGAGTGAAACATTGGTTTCATCATTTTACAGCTAGATTGAACCGTAAGCTAATAAGTCTTTCTTTCTTGCTTTTTTTATAACACCCTATCTGTCTGTCTCTCTTTTTCTCTTAATATCTAATATTACGGGTCAATGTAACGGTAGTTCCTATGCGGGAGATTTCTTCTGTTGCCCTTCTTGCTTATGGAACCCTCTTCAAGCTGATTCATTCTCAGATATGTCTGATCATCTCTCTACGTATGTCTTCTTCTTTTATTAGTCTCTCTCCTTAATGGGGGCTTTTTTTCTCGAACTTTCTAACCCTCAGAAATCACTCGCATGTTTCAAAATCTATCTCCCCTCTCTGCATCTATCTATCTATCTATCTATATATATATATATATATATATATATATATATATATATATATATATATATATATATATATATATATCTTACAGTCACTTCATGTCTCTGTTCTATCTCTTCTCCCTCTCTCTGTCTCTCTCTGGCTGCCTGTTTCTCTCTCTCTCTCTCTCTCTCTCTCTATATATATATATATATATATATATATATATATATATATATATATGTATTACTCTATACACATCTATATCAATCTCAGTCTCTTCATATCTACCTATTTATCTACCACAGTCCGTCTATCTATCTATCTATCTATCTATCTATCTACTACTTCAATTCTGTTTCTCTCTATCTATCTATCTATCTATCTATCTATCTATCTATCTATCTTTTATTCATATCTATCTATCTATCTATCTATCTATCTATCTATCTATCTATCTTTTATTCATATCTATTCTATCTATCTATCTATCTATCTATCTTTTATTCATATCTATCTATCTATCTATCTATCTATCTATCTATCTATCTATCTATCTATCTCAGTATCTGCGTATCTATCTATCTATTCCAACCGCTTCATATCTATCTCCGTCAGTTCATATCTATCTATCTTAGTTTCAATTTGATTCTTTACTTATGTATCAAGCTATCTTAATCTATTCATATCTATTTATCTATCTTGACGTACTGTTATATTTTTAATCTCTCACATTCTGTTTCTATCTGTCTATCTATCTATCTCAGTTTCTTCATATCTATCTATCTATCTATCTATCTATCTATCTATCTATCTATCTATCTACTATGCTAAATATGAAGCGATGTCTTAAATTTTAAAACTGTGCCACGCGAGATATTTTCAAACTCAAAGATACATCGATTACCCACAATACCACGGCCCAGACTTCCAACTTCCCCAAATACAAAACACAAAAATAGATTTAATCTGTCGATATTCCCTCCCATTTTTTTCCTGTAAACATTTTCTCCCTATCCCATTTGAAATAACACGGCCACTAAAACATCAGCAAACAAAGCTACCAAACCTTGAATAAAAAATGTAACTGCAGCAATTTGCCGATAATTTCAGTCAGAAAATAAGTAAACACATTCGAATTCTTTTTTTCTTATCTTCCTTGTTTAGAATGGTCTTAAGATGGATGCCCATGGCGCCCATCACCGCTAGTTTTCGGTGTTCTTTAACTAGTAAAAGCTAGAATATATTCTAGCGCTAATCTAAATATATTGCTATTTTAATCATTGCTATCTCTGGTACAATCTGCATCCATTTCGATCAAATTCGTCTCTTGTATAATCTTAGTTTTGTGTGTGTGTGAGTGTGTGTGTGTGCGTAGTAGTAGTAGCAGTAGTAGTAGTAGTAGTCATTATGTTTGTTTATTTCTTCATATGTTGATTTAGAAACGTTTTTACATACATACCGTTTGTATCGTCAGCTTCAGTAGTTGGGATAAGAATCATCTTGAACAGTTTATTTAAAAACCAGAAAATCTTTTCATTATTATGATTTTCGGGAGATAAAAACAATTTACAGATATCAGTCCTATTAATTAACCCATAGACGGAGGGAAGTAAAAGGTGGATTCATATATTTCCCAAGGATATTTTGCGTGTAGCTGAATATAATGAAGTCGACATCTTGACAAAATCCGAAGACGGATAATGTAAGCGATACTGACCTGGCATCTCAACTGCAATCACTTTCTCACTTCCGCAACGTCGCTTCCCTCTGTCTTTTTTTTTTTTACAAACGTTTTTATAATAATTCCTTTGTTGATCTTTCCTTCTTGGTGTCAACAGTAAGATTTGAAGCGTACAACAGATAACCGATCTTTTTATTTTACAGCTGAAATAGTCATATGCAAACGAAAGTTCTATTCTTACAGTTTATTTTCTCGTACTTCTGCTTTGTGGAAATCTTTTTTGATAGGTCTCAGGTCACTTATTTACTTCTATCTGAAAGAAAGAAAGAAAGAATGAAAACAATATATATGTAACCCTAAGATCTATATTAATAGTTTCTTTTCTCGTACTACTACCCTGTGAAAATCTCTTTTTATTGGTCTCAGGTCACTCATTTGGAAGGAAAGAAAAAAGAAAGAAAGAAAGATGTGCAACTGTAAGTTTTATTCTAATGGTTTCTTTTCTCGCACTTCTCCCTTGTGGATATCTCTTCCGGTTTATCTCTTCCGTGCCACCTACAATCATAAAAATATTTCTTTCTTCTCAGGAAAGACTTTTCATTCATGTTCATGACCTGTGACTTTTGCACTTGATTGGTATTATCATCTTCCGTGCGATGAAAGGATTGTAAAAAAAAAAAAAAATACGCATCTAGCACAGATTTAATAGATAGTTTTAAAA